TGCTGATCCTGAACGACAGCCTGGAGCAGAGGGAGCAGGTCCATCACAATAGCATGGAAGAGATTCAACAGGGGAAGAGCCTGAGACTTCAGATGGACGTGGAGATGTTAGAGAAGCTGCTGCCGATGCCCAAGAAGAAGACTATTGGGATGGGGCTGACATTGTTCTCCAGACGATGCTGATGGTGTTCCTAGTGTGGGTAGTGATGGTAATCTTGAAGGACATGAGAAGTGAGTACTGGGATCCTGATATCCATGTGGCACCAAGCACCACTAGAATGGGACGAGTGGAAGACAGCCCAAGTCCCAGAAGGTTTGACGAGTGGGACAGCAGAATCCTACACCATGGCGAGAGAAGCGGGGTTAATGGCAGGTAGAAATAGTAAGTGTACTGATCAGTGAAACAAGGACAACTGCTGAAGGATCTGGCTTTTTGTTGACGAAAAAAGGTGGACAAGGGACGACGGAGTAGCGTGAGAGCGTTATTGTTCCTCAACAACTAAAGACACCCATATGAGAGCACCTTACTTTTCTAACCAGGTAAAGCCTGAATCTAATGATCATGAAGAGTCTGAATCCAAGCCAAGGAGGACTTGGGGTTTCAGGAATTGATAAAGGTAACATGTTGTTTTAGTACATGCAGCTTACAGTTCAGTTAAACTCTGAAGATTTGTGTGTGGCCTGCAATAATAACTGCCTGAAATATTTCCATTAAGGGGCTTGGACAATTGTAAGGCAAACAAAGTACAATGCCCATTGCCTTGTTACACTACGTGAACCCTCAGTACTATATAGAAGACATCAGTTCCTGTAATGAAGAGAAGCTTCGCAGACCTATGACACCCCCACCACATGTTGTTTTGGATCCAGGTGTACACTATCCCATTTGTACAATGCAAATAGAGAGAAAAAAAACTTCGCTGACAAATGTGATGGACTTCTAGATGCCATGGGAAAATGGATATACTCTTCTGGTGCGACAATGCTGTGGATTATACTGGAGGGACTATGCCAGTGGCTGATGTTTTCTGGGTTTGTAGGGAAGATGAACTATTGAAAAACTTGCCAGAAGGATGGGAATGTTGCTGTGCCCCTGTAGCTCTGACAAGTAATATAGTGTTGCTCATATCTGACCTTTTGCATGGAACTATTTTTGGTACATTCAGCAGAGATTTATGAGCTATACTAATGGTGTGCTAGAAGCACTAGGGGGACAACTAAATGCTACATCTAGAATGTCTATGCAAAATAGGTTTGCTGTAAATGCAATGAGAGCACCAGATGAGGGTGTCTGTGTCCTTTTTGGTGATCAATGTTGCAGCTACATTCCAATGAACACTGCAGATGAGGGTAATTTTACCAAAATGATGGATAAGTTGAAAACCCCTAGAGATGAACATGTTAAGAATATTCAGGGTGAGAGTGAAATAGAAAGCTGGTGGTCCTGGTTACTTTCTGAAGGATGGAAAGCTAGGCTCACTAGACTGGGAATGATTGTGTTAATAGTACTGGTGGTCCTGTTGGTAACCTCTTGCTGCATAGGTCTGTAGCAAGAATTAAGCCTAAAAAGGTTAATATGGAGACTTCCAACATTCCATGAGGCCTGTAGAGTCAACTAGGCCTTGAAAGGTTGAATTGTGAACACCAACTCCGCTCAGTTAACCATACAATAAAACTTATTTTGATGGAATTTATACATGTAGTTATTAGGTCATGGTTGCCCTCAAGAGTTATGTTGGATGAATTAGTTTATGATTTATTTTGATTTATGACATACCTTAATTCACTTTTCTTGATTTATGTTGATTGTTTTATGATGTATGTGCATGATTTATTTTTGATTGATTGTTTTTGAGTTAATGATTCCATATCTGTGATCTTGCAAACAAGTAACGTTGGTGATTGGTTTTTGCAACTTGGAAGAAGTCTTAAAAGGATGGACCAGGATTGTAATGTTGATTGGGTGCATGTGCTTGTAACTTCTCACCAGTCCACCACCATGCCTGTTCTACTCAGCGAATAGTCACATACAGGCAGAAGATTTAACCGCTTGACAGCCTTGTGTGGTGATCTACTATGGACTTGCCTTTTGGTTGCCGCTGTAATGTTTATTGTAGCCTCACATCTTGTGCTGATCTCAGTTTGGAAATAATGGAAGAAATTTGATAAGAAAAAAATGATGATGTGAATAATGACGTGAATAATGATGTGAAAAATAATCGAAGAAACAATCTAATCTTAATGAAAGGTTAGGAAATAATGGTATTCAATGATTTGGAGATAATGGTGTAAAAATCAAAAGAGATGAAACATTTGGGAGGAGCAAGGAGGAGTCAGGTGTTGATCCCTCCTTGCCCAGGGAAGAGAATAAAAGTTGTGGGGTTTTTTGGGTTGGTCAGTTGCTGCCTGGGCCAATTCAGATTAACCAGCCTGTCTGTTGGGAAGCCTTAATCTTTAATAAAAATATTGTGCCTTTTACTGCTTTTTATTTACTTTGAGCCTTATTTTATTTTATTTTTTTATTTGGAGCAAAGCTGCCTATATTTGCAACGACAAGTTTTTGTTGTTTTTGTAAGATCCATGACATGTTTCAATGAATGGGTGTTCTGCTTTCTTAAATTATTTGTATGGCAGCCCTACATTATGGAGTATGCAGGCAATGATGTCACTTCATTTAATTAGGTGTATACTGCCACCTACTGTTTGCCCACTGTTTGTTATAATGTTTGCACATGTGCATTTCAACAATGGGTATCAGTGAGTCACTTAGTGAGCCAGTCAGACTCAGCGAGAGAGCAACTTAGTAAGCCTAAGCATTGAAGGTTAGAGGAAATTTGGGTAAATTAGATTTTTGGCCAAATCACCACTTTAATACACAATATTAAACAAAAATCATTAATAGAAAAGAAAAATTAAAAACACTGCCCAAATAAAGCAAGTGCTGATAGAAGTGGGCGTCTGATTTACAAGCAAACAATAGCTTATTTTTTTAAGTTACTGAGGATCGAATCCATCATATCTACAGTACAGAGTGTCTGACTGTCAGGTCTGTAAACATTTGGACATCAACAAAATTATTTCTGTTTTAGCTGTCTACCACAGCAGATTGGAATTTAACTTGAACATTGAATATTAGCTTTAATTATTCAGACTTTAAGTTTAAATCTGAGAATATTCACATCAAATACAAAGCCTCTCATTTTTACACACTCAAAAGTAACTTGACAATCCGCTAATTAGCTCTTCCATGCCCAGGTGTGTTGTTCCCTCATTATTTCACTTACAGGCAAGCAGATAAAAGGTCTGGAGCTGATTTCAAGTGTCATATTTGCATTTGGAATCCATTGTTATTAGCTCTCAAAATGACAAAACGGTCCAGACTGAAACACTTCTTATAACTTCAGTTTTAAATGGGTGGGGCTAAACTACTGCAGTCTGACTAGGCGGCCATTTCTGAATGCAAACGTAAATGGTTTGTTTTTTCATGACATCACAAAACCAGTGCAATTCAAAATGCCTGTTTTTGCAGCTTCCATGTATGAACTGTATGGACTGGAGAGTAAACGGTATGTTTTGAGACATTAAAAATACAGTGTAATTTGTGTTTTCATGGGGCTCTTGTCTCTCTGGGGCCCTAGGCAGCTTACCTAGTGCAAACATCACCCCTGCCACCAGCAGTGAAGTTAAGGTTAATTTGGAAATGAACTGAGACCTGCAATTTTGGTTATTTTGTCACACAGACCACAGAATTTCTTTTTGATAGGCTGGACCAGATATCGGCGACCTGAGTGGTTGAATTCAAACTGACACAGAATTAAACCAATCAATCATAAAGAAGACAGAGTCATGTGACTGTAGAACACAAAAAAACAGCTTTTAATAGCTTTCCAACAAAAGTGAAGCCACACTGGGAGAAGTTGTGTTTAAGGGAGAATTGGAGAGTACGGTTATTTTATATTGTTGGATTGTAGTTAATTGTGTTACTGCTATATGCTTATTCTGTCTACCAGAATAGTTGTTCTGTCTCTAAGGGCCTGATCTTCTAAAGTCATCTCAGAATCGTCTAAAACTTTGATATTTGTGAGGAGGCGTTATTTGGGTCATTTTAGGGTGATAACACTCTCTGCAATTATTGTTTGCTCTCGCTCTCTGTGGGAGAATCAACTAAACTGGTGATCTGTGAACATCTCTGTATGAAGACATCTTGAAATAAATCTAACTTTCTCGTCAAAAGAGCACGACTCCATCTAGTTTATTCTCATTAACTTCGATAACGACTCCACAAGTCAACAGTATTACCAGAACATAAGTGGGAGTAATTTTTAAATAATTCTTAAAGAAATAAATAATTAAATATTAATCTAACAGTAGCAATTGTTAAAGGTGAAACATTATCTCGGAAAACAGAATGATGCAGGTTGGTACAGTGTAGTGGATAACAGCATCAAACAGAAGTAGGAGAGAGAGAGAGAGAGAGAGAGAGAGAGAGAGAGGTATGAATGGTCTCCAGCACAGCTTGGGAGAGAAGCAGAATCATTTTATTGTTGAAATATAGGCTAATACTGTTGAATCAGTATCAACAAACAGTATAAATAGCATGTAATTATGGAATTGTAGATGTAAAGCATGGTGTTATGAACACTGTGTAAAGAGTAAATGGTAATGTACACTAAGTGAACATAACAATATTCTATTTGCACTTAGTGTAAACAGCATCTGCCTTGTTTTATTACTTATTACTAATTATAGCTTATATGCAGACCTTAAACACCTTTATTTTAATGAAACACAGTGAGTGAGATACATGAGTGAGATATGTCTTGTTCTAACTTCTAATCAGAAATTGAGGATTAAAAGCTAAAACTGCTTTTCGTATTTAACCAGGCTACGATAATCACACAAAGTCGCTATGCGACCTCCTGCAATGCGGGTGTGAGACACGTGGTGTCGCTGTGGGTTTTCTACAGAACAGAGTTCAGGCGCGAGTGAGAGTTTTAACGATTACGTCATTTTCCCGCCCTGAGTTCGGATCAGTTTGTTGGCGGGATTCTCAGAGCAGGAAGTCAAACAGCGGCGGGTCCATTATTGTTTTCGTTGTGTTCGTATCTAATCGCTTTAGGCAGTTTTGTGAGTTTAATAGCATTAACTACAGAACCTTTGTGTGACTTTTTGCTTCTGGCGAAGCTTGTAGCTGGTAAGAGCCGCTAGCAGACGGTGTTTTACATGGAGAGCCACGTAACCTAGTTAACCTAGTTAACTTAGTGCTTAGCGTTAGCTCGCTGACGTAGTTCGCAAATAAGACCTTAAGTTGTGCTGTAGTTGAAGTGTAATGCTTTTAAAGTGCATTTCTGGTTGACATGCTGTATGATGTTCTTCCATGTAAATGTTTGCAACCAAAGCCAAATAATTTAACTACAAGAGGCTACTCAGTGTTGTATCTCATCTTTTGATGGGTAACTAAGCTAGATTGTGTAACTTTAAAATACTTGGCTAAATGAGTAAATAAGTCGTTTTTCTCTTTTTGGTTAGGAAATCATCATGCAGTTCACAGGCAGGAGAAGAAAGCTGACCGTTCATCCGCAGAATGAGCTCTACGGCCACTGTCTGCAGCTGTATGGACAGCCACCTCTGGAGAACATCTCCCTCAGCGAGTTTGAAACCTTTGCAGTGGAGAGGCTGAAACGTAAGCTCAGTACTTCATTGTCTGTTTACTAGAGGTGGCAAAGTGTAATATCACGATACTTCAGGATGATGTGTCACAATATTTTATTCTGATATCTGATGAGTTAGAACAGACAAAGAAGTGGCACATTTATAAAATACTGTTAAAAATCGATGACGACACTTACTTGTATTCAACGTTTCATGTATTGTGCCACACTAAATCTAATTAAGCCAGGCAAATTATTCTCTGTTTGTAATCAAACATGCAGTGGGGAAGTGTTGTTTAAGTACTGATGATATCCACAATATGCTCAGAAAGGCATATTGTGATGTAATTTATCATGATAACGGTATGTTTTGTCCCGTTGCCGAGCTCCACTTCTAACCATTTCGCACAGTGTGAGAGTTTGGTGTTACAGGACTGGTTCAGATTCATTCTTTTTCTCTCCAACATACAGTCTAACATTTTCTGCAGTTATTGTTTGAACTAATAATTAGTCAAGGACCTCAGCACAGACTTTTTTGTCCTGCAGTGTTGAAGACCGTGGAGAACCTTGGTGTCAGCTATGTGAAAATGTCGGAGCAGTATTCTAAGAAACTGCATGCTGAAATCTCCAGCCTCCATTTCCCACACCGACCAGAAGTGGTGAGGGAATGTTCAAGTTTCCAGTTATACCACTGACATTTATTGTTATTAGCAATATTAGCAATTCGTCTTCTAAAAGAAATAGTTGGAGAGCAGAGTTTAGTATTGCCATTTGTCTTAGAAAGCTACAGGTTTGTTTGTTGACAGGCATCACAGCTGTCTTTGCTTCAGTGATGTTTATTGATATTTTTTGATAAATTAGGATGAATCAAGCTTGAACAAAAGTCAAGCCGTACCAACTGAATATGAGAAGCGAAGGAAAGACCACATCTCTCATTTTATTCTGCGCCTGGCATATTGTCAAACGTAAGTGTTTTTTTTCCTCTTTCATAGGGATGTCCTGATATAGGAATCGTAGGCTGATACCGGTATCTCATATTTTTCATGTACATATCACATTGCTTTGTGTAGAGATACAAATGGAGCCAAATCAGTAAAGTGCAGAGACTTTAGCACATTAGCCCAGTGTTGTGTAAATATTCTGCTCTTCTGGAGTACAATAAAACATCACCATGTATCAGTTTTAAAAACCAGTAAAATCTAAACATCTGTCCGATACTAAAGTGTTTTAAATGCAGTTATCTGCCTATACTGACATGATTCCTATAATCATTGAGCACCTCTGTGTAGTTGTTTTAATGAAATTGCCATTGTATAATAATGTCGCATTCAGTACTTTTAGAAATGGGAGCTAGTTTCTATTTCCCGTCTGTGCTTCTGGCACGTTGGTCACCCAAAGGTTGCCAATAGCATAACATAAAGGATACCTATCGGGTGGAATCATCCTGTTTTAGAAAACAGGTTTTTGAATGCTCCATTCAGTTCCTTGGGTATAGCATCTAGCAAAGGCACTTCCTCTACAGCACACTGTTGATGCCTGAGACTGGAGTTCCTCTTTAGTATGACTAGCCATGCTCTTCTTCTGTGGCACAGATGACAGAATCATTTTCCTGCTTTAGAGTAATGCGGGTATTTGTGCTTAGTAGTGGACAGAGAATGTTGAGGTGCTTCTTAATGCGGCTCTTATATGACAGGAACATACATAATATAATAGGAAAGATCTGTGACTAACGTTAGCTAAACTGTCCAATACACTGTTGTGTATTTTTACAAGCCGAGCTATGCATTATGGCCCATTCCACAGGTCACGCGTGGCACAGCTAGGATGGTAGCAGTAGGGATAGCAATTGCAAAATCTCAGAAACAGAAAATTCAGTATATATTTTTTTAAAAGTTTAAGTAAAACTTTTCTTGTTTTACAATACAGAATTGAACATGTAATTATTTAAACTGACCAGTTGGTCTTTGTTCTGTAGTTTTGAAATTAATGCAAGAATATTGTTTATTTTTTTTTTAAAACTGAGACACAGACTGAGGTTTAAACTTTCTTTCAGGGAGGATCTCAGACGGTGGTTTATCCAGCAGGAGATGGATCTTTTTCGCCATCGTTTCACTGACCTTCCACCAAAGTTCAAGACTGAATTTCTGCATAGAAATAATCTGAAATATGACACGGTAAGACTGTTTTTCTTATGCTTCATTTTACTCTCCATCACTAGGTATTACAGGATTTACAAGAGATTTTTTTTATCTCTGCTGACAAACCTGTGAAAGGTACAAACTGAAACAAACCGATTACTGTTTAGGCTGATTACTATTTAGTTTTCAAACTTGACAGGTTCGCTTTAATTAAAATGAACCCTGGTGCAAGTTCTTTGTTAGTGAATGCTATGAAAAAAAGGACCAAAGAACTCTTAACTGACCCAACAGAATGTCTTTTGTCTCTTAACCTGCTTTGGTACGTGGAAATAACAGATTTCTGAAGCTGTTTTGACACATGCATGTGTATAATCACAGATTCAGAAGGTCTGAATCAGTAATTATAGAATGGAAAGTTCCAGTTTTAAAACGAGTCTGAGGCACGCTTGAAGCCATTAAAAAATACTCGACTTACACAGACAGTACTGTACCAACGTTTTAGGCACCTGAAAATGACAATTTAAAAAGCTGTTATCTGGAAAATAAGCATTTGTATGTTCTGAACATTCATAATAGGCTGAATACTAATAACATCAGTACAGTTGCAGTTGCTTTGTGTGTGTGTCAGTGCGTTCAGTTAGCCATTTCCAAGCTTGTCTTTGAGGAAGCCCAGCATTATTTGAAGTTCTCATCCAATTCTTAGTGTGGCTAATCTGGCCTTTATTATGTTAAATTAAGGGCGCTGCTGGTGTAATCTAACAATTCCATGCGATGGAGAAATCTGGAACCAAACTTCAAAGTAGGCTGCACAATATTAACTGTAGTTATTTTACTTTTTACTGTATTTTTTATTTTACTAATTACTGTTTATTTATACTTATTCTAATAATGTATGGTGTGTCTGCTAGCAAAGGCACACTTACTGCTAAGATAAATGGTTTGTAACAGCGGTAGGTGCCCAAGACTATTACACTGTATTGTGCATGACAACACTTAATGTGGCAAGTCCTTAACGTTTTATTAAAGCAGTTATACACTCAAGTCTTTGTTACAGTGATTTCGCTCTACTTGGAGTCGTTGGAAAATCGTGTTAACACATGACCTCTCATGGCCAATTGGTTTAAATTATCACAAGACACAAATGAGACATATGTTCATAAAACAAATGAGCTCGATTAAGCAAGAGCACAACATTTAGGAAACAGGAAAGTTGGACGTTACCATAGTCATTTTCCTCAAAATGTATGTCACAATATCTGTCCTATCAGTTGTGACTTTGTAGGACTCTTGTTTACATCTTTTGGTTCTATATCAATGTTGGAACCATTCGATTTGGTGACCTAGATTGAGTCACATGAATGGTACAACTAATCTAGTCAAAGTGACAGATACCTACTGTCAAATCTAAATCCAATCTTAATTGTATGTTAAATATAATTGGCTGTGTGAATTAATTCCCACTGTTAATACCTCTGCTCCAACTGCTTTGGCTTTGCCTCCCAATTTAAAAGGCATGTACAGGTTTGAACAGCAGGTGGAGCTGGATGCTCACAAGAAAGACCTCCTGTTTCCATGAGAAGATTTTCGAGCATGTTCATTATGCAACTCTCATTTGTGTCCTGGTTGTTGTAGTGCAGAATGGGTTTGAAGTGGTGTTCCCTCATGTACATGGCTTTGTAAAGCAAATGGAATTTGGTCCAGAGAACAAGCTAATTCGTGTCTTATTTGTCAGTGCTGGGCTTGCTGGCTGGCGGCCTTCATTTTACAAGCTAAATAAAGCGTTTACAGAGAAAGGTTGAATAATGGTAATCCTAGTGAACTAGCACTGATAACCTAATTTCCCCAAAGGCTAGATATAATTTTTATAACATATTAGAACTGCTGTTATTTTCTAATTTTCTAATCTCTCACTGATTTTGCTCATATTTCTACTAGTTCATGTTTCTAGTCCAGCATCTTTGATGGTCTTACACCAACAACCAACATCATGCCCCCTTTAATACTACACAGATTGTTCAGCTTTGTTAAGGTGTTTGCTTTGATTTTACGCTGTGGTGGTAGGTACCTGTTTGGATGATCGCTGTATGTGTCCTTTTTCCCTCCCCTGCCAGATAAGTGTGGAGGAAAAGAAGAACTTAAAAGACCAGCTTATAAACTCCAGTTATGGTTTTAGTGGAACTACGGTTGTGGAGCAGGACTTCTACAAGGTAAGATCAAAACTGTGTTCCCATCTTATAGTAATCAAGCAGTTCTGTCAATTTCTGACGTACAAAATATTATGAGTGGGCTTTTAAGCTGTTATCTTGTGTTTAAAGTGATGTCTGTTGTTTTTGTATGAAATGAATTCTCGTGAAAATACGGAAGTGAATTTTTAACATAGGAATTGTCTCCAGGTTTTATTTCATAGCATATGTGAAGGCTAAGGAGGTCTGCTGATGACTGAATTTAGCAGGAATTTATTATCCATATATCATTTAACCAGAATGTCTAGCAAATATTGGAAAAGACTGACTTGGAGGCTTTTGACTTTTACTTTGGTACAGGTCCCTTTTCAAGATGCTCTGGATTTAGTTAGGATGAGGAAAGTCTTCTTGCAGGGTGGCTACGCCTACATTCCCCATCAGGAGATTGTCACAATTGTTCTGAACGATTTCCGTACGAGGCTCTCCAAAGCACTTGCAGTAAGTCATCTTTGCTACTTGATCAGTATAATCTGCCTATACACCAATCAGGCATAACATTATGACCCTTGTTTCTACGCTCATTGTCCGTTTTATCAGCTCCACTTACTATATAGGTGCACTTTGTAGTTCTACAATTACAGACTGTAGTCCATCTGTTTCTCTGCATACTTTGTTAGCCCCCTTTTACCCTGTTCTTCAGTGGTCAGGACCCCCATGGACCCTCACAGAGCAGGTACTATTTGGGTGGTGGATCATTTTCAGCACTGCAGTAACGCTGATGTGGTGGTGATGTGTTAGTGTGTGTTGAGCTGGTCTGAGTGGATCAGGCACAGCAGTGCTGCTGGAGTTTGTAAACACCTCAGTGTCACTGCTGGACTGAGAATGGTCCACCAACCAAAAATATCCAGCCAGCAGCATCCTGTGGGCAGCGTCCTGTGACCACTGATGAAGGACTGTGCAGCAACAGATGAGCTATCATCTCTGACTTTACATCTACAAGGTGGACTGACAAGGTAAGAGTGTCTAATAGAGTGGACAGTGTTTAAAAACTCCAGCAGCACTGCTGTGTCTGATCCATTCGTAGCAACACAACACACACTAACACACCACCACTACTATGTCAGTGTTCCTGCAGTGCTGAGAAAGATCCACCACCCAAATAGTACCTGCTCTGTGAGGGTCCATGGGGGTCCTGACCAGGGTAAAAGGGGGCTAACAAAGTATGCAGAGAAACAGATGGACTACAGTCTGTAATTGTAGAACTACAAAGTGCATCTATATAGTAAGTGGAGCTGATAAAATATTTGTTCTTTGTGTCTGTGTCATTTTTGTCAAATTAGTTTTCATTCACTTCACAGATTATGTGCTCAGGGTGCTTATTTCATGAGTTCCCGAGGCAGCCTTGTCTTGTCAAATTCATAAAAATGCTGTAAATAAACAGACAGTATTGCAATAACACCAATGTGCTGCTGTCCAGTAACTAAGACTAAGTTTTTTTTAAAAGAATTTTTACCTTATTTACTTTTTCCTCTTTTTAATAAACTTTTGACAGAAATAATTTTGTGACATGCTTGCGAGATTTTGATCAATATACCATTGTCTGATCATGCCCACTAGCCCCATGTAGGAGAAAGGTGCCACAGATATTGCTTGAGAAGCTGCTTTAATCCTACAGACTGAAGAGCGTTTCAGTCAAGATTGGCAGCACCCTTCTCCTTTAACCCCTTTCAGCACGGTGCCTAATGCAACAATGCCACAGAGAGGCCTGCTTAAACCAGAGAAAATAAACATTTCTGTCAAACTTGCTAACTTTGTCCTAACTTTGCTTGGTATGGCTTGATAAAATCTCACTTACAGCCTGTAAATTGCTTCTTGTTAAATTAATACAATGGACAAGACTTTCTGTGTTAAGTTAGCCTCCAGGCTACTGTTACTGTAGCCTGCTATATATTATTGAGCTGGGATATAGGAAATTGTATTTTACTGTCTGACAACTCTGATGGAAGTATACTGTCAGTTAGATAAGCCAGAGGTTATGTTTCACAAAGAAAGATGTTCTGTGCGTGAAGAGCAGCAGCACAGCTTTATTTGTTTAGCCAGCTCGACCACAGAAAAAAACATGCTGCCTCATGCTGCTATAGAATGTTCTAAAGCCAGACAAACTATCAGGACTGATATAGGACATAGGCTACGCTTCACAAGAAAACAAGACTATATAGACTGTACACTTTGCGTTGTGCTTCTTAAAGCTGCCGACAGTGTGTTTTCTGACATTTAAGTCATCTAACTTGATATATGCCAGCTATCGACAGTTTCCGATACCATCATCAATCACCTCAGGCGTGTTTTGTAATGCAAACAGCACATAATACATCCGTCTTTTTAGGCTTTGTCTCAGATTTCTAAGTAAGATTTGGACACAAGTCACAGTATTGTATCCCATTTAGGAATTAATTATAGTCAGCTCAAAGATATTTGGTCAGATATTAGCAGATTTAAGGGAATTAAGTAAAATTTCCAGCATTGGTTTTCATACATGCCAGTGATTCTGTAGATACCTGTGTTCACCACTACAGATAGATGATGGGTGTAGAGTATAGAGGAAAATAAACTTGACCTCTGTATCCACATTCATTGTTTCTTTGTGCAGTCTGTTATGCAAAGCCATTAGTGGTAAAACTGAAAAATGTTAAATATTTATCATGTTGCAGAGAATGAATGCTAGTGGAGAGTTTAATACTAGATTTTACTGGATGACTCTGCTCAGTTTATTGGATTTGTGTGTGTGTGTGTGTGTGTTTGTGTGTGTGTGTGTGTGTGTGTGTGTGTGTGCGCGCGCTGAGAGCATTGCCATACTCTGAGGCATTATCAAGGGATTGTGGAAATGGGGGCTCGTCTTTTTTGCTCAGGAAAGCCAGAAAGCAGGGTAGTTGCTCATTTGTGCAGCAGAGAGGAACATGCATATCAGAAAATATGTATATAATATGATATTTCACTTGTACCATGTGGGAGTTGGCCTAACATAATCATGGGCTGATGTACTGTGTGAAAGACAGAGATCGCCCTTCATTTATTTAATATTCAGTCAGAATGTAAGTTGTTAATTTCTCAGGAGATACTTCAGCAGTGACATAATTACAAGGAAGAAGAAAGTCGCAGAAAAATAAGTATAAAAAACAGAACTTTTTAAAACTGGAGTTTGCAAATGGAACAAAGACACTGCTGGTAATCTCAGAACAATAGACTGTCCAAATTAGAGTCAGCATCACTGAATGTGTTTGGGATTACTTGGACTGTGAGAGGCAGTAAATGCGACCAAATTCTAAGACTGAACTTTGGAGGTGTGGAAAAATATCCCTGCAGATTTCTTTAAAAAATTGAAAGCAAGCCTGATGAAAAGAATGGAAGTTGTAATAAAGGAAAATACTGGACACTCTAAATTAGGGGTGGGAATCTTTAGGCACCTCACGATTCGATTCGATTACGATTCAGAGGGCTGCGATGCGATTATAAAACGATTATCGATGCATCTTTTTTTTCTATATAGCATTTATATTTTCTTACTGTGTGAGCTCAAGTTTCGAGTTCAAGTTTCAAGTTTATTTGTCACTTATACAACATGTCAGGACATTTATGCATTGAAATGCTTGTGGTGAGGCTCAGGTAATCACTACAGTAAGTAAATAAATAAAAATACAAGAAAAACCAACTGAAATATATTAAATATACACAAAATATATACAGAATATAGAGACAATATACATTTTAAAGTGACAAAGTAACTGTGTTATTGATATTTAAAGTGACTTGGTACTTTTAAAGCAAAGTATTTGTAATGATCCATAATGAATTTACTTCCAATATCTTTTTTAATAAAACAAATGGAAGTGATGTGGCAAGTGAACTAGAAGGCTCTCATTCGGTGCTCTTGTTTGGAGCACGAGAAGCTGCTGCTACTAAAATGCGCAGTTACGGTGAAATAAGATCCAGTGGCAGTGGATGTCCACGCAGCACATAGTAGTTGGTTTCCTGGCAAGTAAAATCTGCAACGAGAGACTGTCAAACACTAAAAAGTGGCGAATTCTCCCGTTCCACCTTAAATAGTGCCGCATTTACATTCGGCGCCTCAGTTAGAATTTAAGGTGGAACGGGTAAATTCGAACAAGAAGCTGGAGAATAAGAAGCGACTTTAGCCTCGTAAAACAGTCAAAAGTTGAGAGACATTTAACTGATCAACTTCTGAGGAAAAGTTTTCTGGTGGAGATGGGAGGAAAGCGGCTGTAGGCAAAGCTTAAAGCAGAGCGAAGTAAATCTGCGCTCTCGTTTATACTGTTTAGCCTAAACTAGGACATTAACACATACTGAGACACACTGGACATTAAATGTTGAGGCTCCCAAGCTGGTTTGATTTTTGTTGAAAGGACAAAATGGCTCTTCTTAACATTCGTGTTGTGACTCCTGACCTAACCTGGCTTTTAATGCAGAGGGAGCTGGTCGGATTTCTCACTCATCCAGTTGTGTTTTTGTTATGTGCCGCCACAGACTGTCCGGGCGCCGCACTTCCGCACTTCCAAGTTGCGCCTTTTGCGATCCGTCAACATTGCGTTATAAATTAAATAATTAGAAACATTTTTGACATTTGTGAATCGATTCAGAATCGTTCACATCCGCATCACGATGCAGCTAAGAATCGATTTTTTCCCACACCCCTACTCTAAATACTGAAAAGAATACGTACTTTGATTAAAAATTTTAATAAATTAAGAGCGGTTTCTGCGTCAGATTACTCTTATGACTTTAAGTATGTAGGACATCATTCAAAAGCTTATAGTCAAAGAAAATTGCTCAAATATGTGCTTCATTTTGGAGGTTGCTTGTGAAATTATACGACCTTGTGAAGCGATAACCTGAGATTGTAGATTTTATTTTTAATTTTATTTATCTATTTATTTATTTATTTTAAGCTGTTAATGAGGTCTGGGACACGTTCAATAGTTTCAGAAGGCTTAACTCATGCTTAATGGTGCACACTTAGGCTTGTAGGTCATGTTCTCCTTCATAAGATTAAGTCTAAATGAAGGTGATCTTATTGGAAGGGTTGTTGGCCAGCAGATTAGAGAGAGGACTGTAACTTGATGTTCTTGCCAAGATAGTGATGCTAAACTGTATGCATCTCAGTTTGTTTTATTCCTGCCAAATCCAAAAGCAATTATGACACTCCCTCACTGCTGCGGGACTCTGGTGAAATTGTAGAGCCAAGTATACTTTTCTTTTATGCTGCCATTTGTTCTCATGAATACTAAAGCAGTAATGTTGTTTTTAAAAAGATCTTTTGTGATTTGTTTTAAAGTGAGTTTGAAAGATTTAGAATTATCATGAATTTAATGTTTTAATAAAAAATATATTTAAGTATTCGTTTAAGTAAACCTGTTTGTGTTTTAATGAAAAATTATGATCTTATGTCTGTACAGCTGTTCAAAGCTGGCTAGCACATGTGT